CATTGTGGACATCTCTCACCTTCTTGTACCAGCAGGCCTGTCCTCGCCGCGTCAGCGACGCATCCATGATGTCGTCGGCCACCAGGAAGAAGGCCTGGAGCTGGAGAGAGGAAGAGCAGGGACAGCTGAGGGAGAGGGTGGTACGACACACAGCCCAGAGCAGAGCCGCGGTGCGATGGGGATCGCAGGCTGTGACAGTTCGGCGCTCACCATCTCGATGCACCAGCCCACCACCAGGGCGCGCTGCACTGCCTCTGGGGTCAGCTCGGAAGGCGCCGCAAGTTCGCGCAGGGACCCAATCACAGACAGGCCGCGGTTCCTCTTGCCTCCAGGGGCGTTGTACTCCATCACCTGAGCAACAGAGCGAGTCACGTCTGCTCTAGCACAGCAGCCACACAGTGTCTGTCTCTCTGGGCACTACCGGCCCCTCTCTCTGCAGTGTCCCTGTCCCTCTCTCTGCAGTGTCCTCTGTCTCTCTGGGCACTACATGTCCCTCTCTCTGCAGTGTCCTCTGTCTCTCTGGGCACTACCTGTCCCTCTCTCTGCAGTGTCCTCTGTCTCTCTGGGCTGTACCTGTCCCTCTCTCTGCAGTGTCCTCTGTCTCTCTGGGCAGTACCTGTCCCTCTCTCTGCAGTGTCCTCTGTCTCTCTGGGCACTACCTGCCCCTCTCTCTGCAGTGTCCTCTCTCTCTCTGGACAGTACCCGTCTCCCTGTGTAATACCCATCTCTCTCTCTGGGCAGTGCCCACTGTCTCTCTCTCTCTCTGCAGTGCCCACTGTCTCTCTCTCTGTATGTAGTACCTGTCTCTCTCTCTGCAGTGCCCACTGTCTCTCTCTCTGTATGCAGTACCTGTCTCTCTCTCTGCAGTGCCCACTGTCTCTCTCTCTGTATGCAGTACCTGTCTCTCTCTCTGTATGCAGTACCTGTCTCTCTCTCTGTACAGTTTCACTTTACCTGTCTGAGTCTGTGAAGAGCATCGGTGACCGCAGGGTCAGTGATATCATGCTCAGTGACGTCTCTGACTATGTCCATAAACTGCGCGTCAAACGCCTGCGCGTCCAGCGCCCCCTGCTGCTTCCGATCTGAGCTGCACACGCTGTCACCCTGCAAAGAGAGAAGGCAAGTATGACCAGACAGGAGAGAGGGAGGAGGGACAGACAGTGGAGAGAGGAGAGAGGGAGAGGGGACAGACAGTGGACAGAGGAGAGAGAAAGATATCAGGCCTAAAAAAATCTCCAATCTGTACTGATTGGGCACTTGAACAGGGCAAGAGACAACTACAGTCTGGCTGCCCAGAGAGGACAGGCTCAGTGACCACAGCCTGGACACAGAAACTGGA